CCCCCCCCCCCCCCCCTCCCCCCGCGCCCACATAGCTCGCGCTGATCCAGTCGCGTTCCCGGTGCGTCTTGCATTCGCCTTGATTCAAATACCACACACAACACGCCTAAACGAACACCAGGCAGTAGAAGTAGGACTTAAGAGCCTCGGTCGCCACGCGCGTTTCCTTTCACCTACACCACGCCACCGTTTCAGTCTTTTGCCCCCTGAGAATAAGCGTAGCCCCTCACTTCACGCCCCTCACGGGACCCGGGAGTATGCATGGCCTTTTTTCGAAGCTGGCTCGTACCTTTTTTTGTCCCTGAGGCCAACGTGTTTCATTTGTCAATGGGTTAGGGCGATCGGTTTCAACAGCAAGGAAGACGCGCACACACGCACACACGCATATGGTCAGCCGGTTAGCGCGGTCGGTGAGACACACACGCGCGTTTGGTCAGCCGGTTATTTCACGGTCGATGCTTCATAGCTAACGAAAGACACGCACACGATGCTGCGTCTGTTGTTGATGTTTCCGCGTGGATTTGTTGGTGGGCCGACCGTCTGGACGTGCAGCACCACTCCCTCGTGGAGGTGACAGAGGGAGGCCAGTGCTTCATGGAGGTTGACAAACGGGGGACCAGGCGCAAGTACGAATCGCTGCACGACCTCGTGACTCAGAACTCGCTGCTCAGGCAGCTCTACCCGGACATCCCGAAGGAGCAGGTCTTCAAAGGAAAAGCTCCAGCGGCGCCAGAAACAGAGACAGAGGGGACACCGGAGGCGCCAAGAGGAAACGGTTACGGGTGGTGTGCCACAAGTTGAGGCTTCCAACACTAAACGGTGTTGGGAGGGCGACGGCGCTTCTTTTGTTGCCCCCCCGTAGGAGTGGCAAGCAAGAACAACATTCAAGTGCTAGACTAGTTTACGCCGAGGTAATGCCGCCATTCTACTGCCGACGCAGAGGCAGGAATTGTGTCTGGCGCGCAATGTATATGAGGGTTGCCGGCGACGGTTCGAGCCCGAGTCGTGTGTTAATTTAATTTGGTTGTTTTCTCTCGTCGGCACGTGCTGATAACCGTGGCAACGAGAAGGGGTATTTGTTCGAGTTTGACGAGAAGTCGGGGCCTTTCGCAACAACGGCTGACGATGACACGTGTCACTGGGAAACAGCACGTTGTTTCTAGTATAGATAGGTGATAGTTTGGATGCACGTGCTATGCGTAAGCATGAGCATGCGCTTTTGCAGAAGATCAGCCTGTTCACAGCCGGAGTGTGCCAGTCTTGCCTCCTTGCGTGAAAAGCCCCCTAATATTTGATACCCTAGTCTTGCGAGGCAGATTCCCATCCATGCGGCCGGGAAACCGATGGAAAAGGGGGGTTGTTCGCTCGCTCTTGTGTGGGTTCGTAACGCTTCAGTTAATCTCGAAGAAACGCACGTGTTGTCCTAACGTCTCAACCTGCGAGAGTACAAGCAAGGGTATGTCGAGCAGCATTTTTTTGTTCAGCTGGTGTTGATAATTCGCTGTATCCGGAAGCAAAGCACAGAGGGCATGATGAGTGGTGCATCTGAGTGTGTTGCGTCATACATGCGGTGTTGCCTGAGAGTTGAGACACCCTTGCCAGTGGCCCGTCGATTCACGCGTTTGAAAGCAGAGTGTCTTAAGCTCGATATTTTTTGGATACTTCCTCCGTGACTGTTGTTGCCAAGGTTACATTGTTCCTTTTGTTTTCACTTGACCACGATCACAACGTTTACTTTTTGGTGGGTATTGTACATGTTCGTTGCGTTGGTCTGTTACAATATTTTTGTTGTTGCAATACTTTGTTGCGCCCAATGGCTCGTTGCGCGGAGGGTAGTCTCTTCTTGTTGCCTGTTGGTGTGGTTAAAGTGCTCCTGCGTCCTCCCTGCATGCATGTGTGCAATGAGCAAAAGGAGGGCAGCAAGCCTCAAAATGTCTTCTCACCACCCCGCGATCTCGGTAACGGTTGCTTTAAGCCCCCTCCCCCTTTGTTGAGTTCGCGTTGCCCCTCCCACACATCCTAAGAATCCGAGGCGTAGGTTCACGTGACTCGATACATTGTTCTAGCAGCAGATCCGAACAAATTGCCATGAATTTGGGTGCCGTCATTTGTTTCGCTCAGTATCGCTGAAGTCCCACGTGGGTGATGGCGGGGGTGTACTCCTAGTCGTGGATGCCGTGTCGTTAGACCATTGACCTCGCATCCCTACAAGGCCGGGACGGAGCACGCCGGGTTCTCACCGGACCAGGCTCCCACATCACCAAGCGCGAAGCGCCGTGAGGTATTCGGCGAGTCGCATGAAGCCTCCGGTCGCCCCGGTGGTCTAGTGGTATCCTCGTAATCTGCTAGTCGCACGGGTCGTGAGTTCGAATCCCCATGGGGTGAAAAAATTTACGATATTTGCGGGTGAGAGCGAAATACAGATAAAAGGCTCTCGTGAGTACCAAACTTCGACGTTAGCACCTTTGACGAGGGAAAGGGACAGCTGAACCCTTCTCGCGATAATAATAAAATTCAGTACGCACCGCAGGAGGAAGGTGGGGTATGAAAAGAAAAAAAAAGAAAAAAGCCCAGGTGTTGACCCCCTCCTGTGTGACCCTGGATGGTTGTAGTTGTACGAAAAAATACACTGAAAAGTGTAGTACTCTACATACGGTGAAAGTGTAGCACACGTCTCACAACAAAAAATGGGGAGACTGTCGCCAGCACAGGACGGAAACACACAAAAACCATGGAGGGTGCGCTGCATCCTGCTAAGGGTGTTCGGCATCTTGTGCTTACTTCCTTGCGTACGGATGACAGCTGC